TATCCGGCAATAAGTAAGAAAATAAGATACAAACATCGAATTAATATAAACAAAATCAACAATGAAACCATATATTAAATCACTGAAAACCATCAAAGATGCGTAAGACTAATAAGGTTGAAGGAGATTCTGTTTTTGTTTGTTTTTTTATTTTGAACAGGCAATACTGTTTACTTATTCATAATAATTTGTTAGATGTAAATATGATAGTACAGTTGCATATGTCCTCATTTTTTTACACTTTTATAGTTTTATATATATTTGTAGCTTGGCATAACGTGTTTTATAGTCACCTAATTAACTGGTCGTTAAGGGTTGTCTGTTACAATACATAATAGAACTAGACTTGCCACACTTGCCCAGCTACAACAACCATTACAAAGTGCATATACGGGTGTAAATGAAAACGTTTGCATTTCATAATTTGTAACGTGTTTATTTTAATATTAGATTATATAAATATAAAATTTTATCTCTTTAAAAGAAGAAAAAAGGTATGATCCATCAGTGTAAGATCACTGGTAGTTTCTTCTTATGGAATTTATCTGAACAAGTACATCGCAATGTATGAAAACACTAGCTTTTCCACAACGGATTTGGTCACTAAAAGTAAGATTGACATGAAAGTTCTCCCAGTATATGATTTCCATTAGAAGTAAATGTGAAATTTTTATTGAGCTTATGCAGCAAAAGTGAACTTTACGATATTAAGACTGGGAGCATGATGGCTGCCACGAGGCATATGGAAGATCGGGCGCGATGGAGAACTCCCTCGTTAGCCACAGCATCACGCATGCGCTCGATGTGACTTGATTATGGTGATGCTACAAAGGATGTTTTCTGTTTTTCAAATATAATGTGTAGTATTTAGCCTGTCGAAAACATAATTTATCCTGTATGAATAGATTAAAGTGTATGTACTAATAAGTAAGTGTTTTCAGTTTCTTTTGAGCTCCATAGTAAGCACTCTTTTAATTAAAATCATGTCAAAACTGTCACAGTGACTTTGTTTACTATTAGTCAGACCACACTTTCGGTTTTCCATCAGTGATTGTTAATCTAAAACATAATAAAGCCTTCAGGATACTGTAGTGTTTTACAGTTTCCCTAAAGGAAAAATTACTTCTTTGTTAATCTTGCCAATTTCTACATGGTTTAAAGAACACAAACAAGAATTGTGGCTTTGACATAGTTTTATTTAGGTTTTAGTGTTATAGTTGCTAAACAAAATGGCACCAAAAAGTTTTCCAAGTGATCCATCAGATAAATAGTTATAGAAAATAAAATGTATGCCAAAAAAAAAAAACTAGTATGAAAAAATGCAAAGTGAATGCAACACTGTTCAGTTTTTTTTTATTTCATACTTCCATTGGCTTTGGTATTTATAAGGAATATTAGTTTATTTTAAACAGTTTTTTTTTTTAAAAAATGACATGCAATTATGGTGTTTTTTCTCATAATTATCCATATGGATATTAGAACAAATATGTTCAAAAACCATACACATTTGTTAGTTTTTTATTAATATTTTCATTCAGTTTTTAATCTTGAAACTAAACTTTCAGTACCAAACAGTTGGACATTTTGACATCTTTAGTTATTGGAATTAAGCATAAAAATGCATGAATGTTGTCTCCTTTGTAAATCAATCAGAAAGACTTTGAACTATGAGATAGAAATGTAAAGTAGATACATGTTTATGGAGAATTCTAATTAAGAGTTGTCTTATCAATAAAATCTTGAAATAGATGGGTAATTATTTTTTATGGATACATTATTTGTGTTAATGTGAAGCAGAGATCGAAATATTACATTCCTGAGAAATTTAACTTTGCTTGAGCAATTTCATCTTTTTTAGTTGGTTTTCCCAATCAGGAATACATGGTCCATTCGTATTCTTTTAGTTATGACCATTGAAAGTGAACAAAGTGCATGGATTAAATAAAAAATACAATTCCTGAGGAAATGCAACTTTTCACGAGGGAATCTAATGTTCCTGTTAGCTTTCCCTTGAGTGAATGTAATTTTATTTCATTATTTCTGTCCCTGTATGAAAATGTTGATCTCACTTGCTTCTTGTGTTGCTGGCTCAATACTCAGGAAGTTTTGTCTTTTAAGGTTTCAAAAAGTTTTGAATGAACTTTCACACATACTAAAATGTTGCATGTTATATATTTGAAGATTCAACCATTGCTAGGTGTTGAATAGATTACATGACTTTTGTACCAATAAAATATTGCAAGAAAGTGTATAAGTACAAAATTATTTTTTGATTGTACTACTAAATATTTATTTACCTTAACCATAACAAATGTAACATTCAGTATAGTTTTGTTGACCCTGAAGTGCAACTTTTTTTTTTAAGCACTTTATATACGGACCAACCCAAGTAATATTTTTACAATAATGATCAAATTAATAATAAAATAAATCTCGAGTTGTATACATAAAAAAAAAAGATATGATTTTAAGAATTTTTTGAGATATTGACTGAACAGAGTTATAGTGTAGATGTAATCATTGTAATCACATCTAAGATATTAGTGTTTAAAAAATAAATTGTACTGAGTTTATCACTACAACTTTGAATCCTGAGCAAATGTACATAAGTATAATATAATATTCATTTTAAATCTTTAGGTACTGTCAGTAAGTTATTTAGTTGTTGGTTCATCCTGTTTATTTGAATTTAGCCTTCTCACATCCATAGTTTGTTAGCAGCATATATTACATAGTGTTTCATTGGGGTTTTGCTTAAGATTTCAATAAAGGAAAAATATAAAGCCCTTAGAATTTTATCTTTACTTTTGACTTTCATAAAACTGTATTGACAAACTCGTACCATTTAACCTAGGATGTACACAATGCCCCAAGACACTAAAAACCTGTTACTTTGTAATACCAAATTTTCCATTGTTTTTTATTATGTTATTATGCTTTAATAATGCCCTTTGGCTAGTTGTTAAGTAACAATAGATTTTTAGATTAGTTTGATTGCCCTAGGTTACTTGAAAGCCTTTCATTGTCCATAAATACATATATGTTAGTACAAAGCCCTCTGGCAAGTCTGTTGAGTATGAGGTCAGGAAACCCAAAATTTGAGATTTAAATTCCCATAGGCTTAATGAATTATATATACACACATTGTTTTTGTAATTTAATGGGAGATATTCTGGTATGATTTGGTTTAAACAAGTATTCATAAACCAGTTTGTTGAAAAACTAGAATGTGCAAGGACTGAAACTGGACATTAGTTTTGCTTCATTGACTAAACTATCAAGCTGATCTAAACATGTAAGGTAGTGCCTTCTTAGAGCCTTAGTACTATTAATGTGAAAAAGCCATATAACAGTAATGAAATTGACATAAAATAATCTTAGTGCTTTGGAAAAGAAGAGCATTCTTAATATAGATCTCAAATAATTTTTTTGTGTGTGAAAGAGATTACCATATGAAACCATTCAAACTTTTAGTTTAATTTCACATTTATTGCACTTACTAACAAGTATACAAGTGTGTGTGTGTGTATATTTATATATATATATATATACACACACACACGAACATATATTAATTATATCAAAAATAAACTTATATATCATCACATAAAGTCTCTGTACAAGTTCTCTGTATAAATCTTTCATGAATCACTAATGTAAAGACATACATAACAGTAATTGTAATCTTATTTCATTAGTTTTGCCATTAAGTGGAATCTGAAGAAATTTAAAATGTTTTTGGATAAGTTGTTTGTTTAATCGTTTAACAGTTCATTTGCTTCACTGTTGGGTTAATGATCAGTTTTTAAGTCAGATATTGGCAGTATTATGTAGCTATTAGTGATATTCTGTAGGGGATATTAATACTAATACTGCTCATACATTCTGTGGAATAGCTTAAAAACATTCATCTGTTTAAAAAGATATAAAACATCTGTAAAACTCTGCTCACTTTATTGTATAATTGTTTGTTTTTGAATTAATTAGGCTGTTCAAGTGTTCATTTCTGAATACTTTTGTCTCTCACTAATGAATTGTGTACAATATTCATATTCAGGGTTTGTCATTTGACCAGTCAAATGCAAAACAATATTTTATTTTGTTTTATCTTAAATGCATATATTGAGTTTTATTTAACTTTAATTATTGTGTGTACTGGCTTGTTACCACCACACTAATATATACCAACTTAGGTCTTGTGTCACAATAAAACAATAAATATAATGAGTTATACAAAATATGCTAAAACAAAAGTAGCCCACATCATCAAACTGTTTTGCTGAAGCTTTATAACAAGACAAACTTTGTCAGATAGGATCTATTACATGTTTTAACAATTCTAATTGGAAATAAATAGACTATTTTTTAAGTTTGTAGAGTTAAATTGTGATACAATACAATTACATACTGGTAAGGAAGTAAAATTACAGAACAAAAGTCTTAAAATAATCTTCTATTATAAAATATACTTAAAAAAATAGGAAATAATTTAAAAACTCATTATTTAACAAAAGAAGTTACATCAAATAAAGAACAGTTTATGGTTTGTCTCTAGCCTTCCGATGACATTACTGCATACACTCATTGTGATTATGGTATTTGAACACCTCTTAATCCTTAATTTCAGACATAGGATACCAGTGAAACTTTGACAGTCACTTGTCAGCCAAAGTTTGTCAGAATGGGACTCCATCGATAGAAATTTATCTGTTCAATTTTCCGAGCTACTGGTATCTTTTTATTCCTGTGTATTTCAGGCTTTAAAAAATTGGACTCCAATTTGCAAAACGATTTTATAAGTAATGTAAGTTTTGAGAAAATAAGATTAAATCAAGTTTCTCTGAGATTCCACATATTGTGTGAGCTTGTGAACAACGATTCCTACCTTGGGCTATAAACAGTAGGTTATGTAATGTTTATGAATATACCTACTACTCACTTGGATATCATGTTTACTTGAATTATCGAAGCTTAAATTCTTGTAATGTTTTTTTTTCCAGAGTTTTCCCACAGATGGGTTTGATCAGTCTGGTTCTAGATACACGACACCTAAATCAGGCCTGTATGGAGACTCTTATTTTATGGGTGAGTGAAGACTTGAGAACAGGCAAGCTGAATATGACACAATTATTAACAAAAAGACATTATGGAACCTAGATTATGTAGAGTTGCTGATATGAAAATATGCCAAAACAATTATTATTCTTTATATATGTAGATATGTTTTATGTGTAAAATTTCATATATATACAGTATTTTTTCAGAATTACAGGTGTTAATAACTGTGTTACATAATTTAATTGTTACAGTGAAGTTTTTGACTGAAACCTAATCTTATTATTCAAATCAATATTTTTTTCAAATTAACTGTAGTATGTTTAACAAAATGTATTGCTTGTTTTGTTTTATTGACACTACAGGGAATGTGTAAGTATTTTAACACTCGGACACTTTTTCTATTGATGAGTGCATAAAATGCGAAGCTAAATTTTCTCTAATCCTTCTGGTAAAAAAACAAGTTCAAGTATATTCCTATTAAGGTGAAAATAAAATATGACCATATTTAATAACACTTCTAAAAATTGTAAATTGGGCCAAAAAAGAACCATACAGTTTTACCATGGCACTATCGATGCATGGTTTTTATTCTATCATAAATTTATTGCTGTGCCTCTACTCATTAATTGATTTTCTGTGATGCTACTAATTGTGTACAATTTGTTGGTTAGTAACAAGCATGATATTATTTCACAATAAGGCTGATGATCATGTTATTAATGCCCTTCTACAGTAGCATACATAATAAGACTGAATAATGTGTTACCAGGCCTTCTTGTAGTCATTTTTCGACAAGTTTTGAAAAATCTGCTTTGACCAGTTATTTATAAACTAATATTTTGATGAAATTAAAATTACTAGAAACAATTTGTAATATTGTGCTGCTTTATAATTTTCATCAAAACCAAGTTGTTTTTTTTATCTTTTTGAGTGATTTTATATCTAAAAAAGAAAAAGGTATTCTAAACCAGGTATTGAAGGTGTTTAAATCATTGATAAGTTTTGTAATAAATACTTTATTCCTTAGCTGTACTATTTTGAATTATCTGAACATTATCATTACATTCGACATAATTTAAATTACAAGGTTTTAATATGCTTGTTGTGTAGTTTAACACTGTTCTATCAAGTAGACTACATTAATTAGTGAGTACTACATTAAATGCCTAATGGTGAAATTAAACAATTAAAATGATTGACAATTTTCTATGTTATGATTGCTTTTATAAGATCTTGGGAAAACCTGAAAGAGTTGGGGGAAATTATTCCCCCCCCTCACTTGCACACCGACGGTGCTGATCAATTAAGTCAATGATTGGTGTATTTTAACATAACCTTTGTCAGTCAATTTGAGGTATTTTATATAGATATGTTTGTCTATTTCGTTATATTTGATGACAAATTAAGCTAAATATTTTTTTTATAAATAAAAGTGCACCATTTTATTGTCTACCAAGTTTCTTGTTTGAAAATCTTTTTTTCTGTAGCACCATAGCATGAAGTGTGTATTATCCTTTGTAAGCAGCTTACCAGTTGAAGTGAAAATAATTATTTAGAATTATGAGGAAAGTTTAAAACATGAGTGTGTCTTACATTCGTGTGTGCAGATCTGTAAAATCTGGAATTTTGCCTGATAAGTCAGGAAAGGAATTTTGAAAGAATGTGGTAACCCTGGTAATGTGGTTATGCTTGCATTCCTGAAGTTCAGATTTGACATTACATGCATGTTACTGTATTTCAACCCATACTAAATATACAGTGTATCTTGCTTATATAGAAATAGATACAACTATGGATTTTTGAGAAAAAAAAAAAAAGATTCTTGTCAGTGTTGTGGTCATGCTGTAACACTGTAATGTACTGTTCTTTGATGGATGTATATTTAATATTAATTCTCTAGTAATTATCTAATGCTGTTAAATGGTTAGTTGTATTTATTTATGTTTTACATAATTTTGTATTAAAAAAGTACATATAAGTTTTCAGACATTTTTGTTGAAGCATAAAAAAACTAGATTATTGTATTCTGTAGATGGGTCTCACAACCTTGGTGATCCCTGGTCTACCATTCCCAACCTACCTTCATCCTCGTACTCTTATACACCCTCAGTGACAGCAAATGGCAGTTCCCATCTTCCTTCACCACCTTCAGCCTTTAATGGTATCCATCTTCCATCAGATAGTCTGGTGAGTGTGCTTTGTTGTACCCATTTTTTTCTTACTTATAAAACACCTGCACATTCACTTACACTTTATCATTAGTTTGTTATGTATTGTACTTTAAGGGATTCTATAAAAACTATATTCAAATTTTTAGTGAAGGAAGTTACTTGTTTTTACATCAATGTATTTTTCAGTATTTTATTCTTAACTTATTTAATACATAAAAATTCATCTATGGTGAAACAACAACAACATTTTTTAGGGATATCCTGGTATTTTGCCTGTTGATGATCCATCAGTTATTTCACAAAGTCTTCCGCCCATGTCCAGTTTTCGGGGCTCAACCAGTCACACCCCAACAGAAACACATTCAGTAACTTCACCAGATCAGTTAGTAGCACAACCATCAAACCAAACAGAGGATGCACTCGGCAAAGCTCTGGCCTCAGTAAGTTGACTTAGTATATTGATCTTAATTGTGAAGTACAGCTGTATAAGTAGTGAGAAACATAAAGAAAATAAACTGTCTGAATCTGCAATTCAAATTCCACATTTATTCTCATAAATTAAAAGAAACTCATTCTTATAGAGCTAAATAAGAGCTGTAAGGGGTTGAATCAAAATCTTAAATAGTGATTTTCCATAGTTCAATTTTGAATACTTGAATAGCATGGCAAAGTATCATGGAAGACCTTGGAAATGCATAGTATTTTTACATGTTTACACTGATTGCTTATTATGCTCTGAAGCCGATTAACTAAATATTAGTTACAGACGTAGATCGTACTGACTTCATAACAGTACAGCCTTTTTAATTTTAGTTGAAAAAGTATGTTATGGCTGGTTAAGACTAGATTATGCAAGAGTTTTAATATAATGAACAAAAAGTTCCATGATGAAAAAAAGTGCCTCTTGTAAAATTTTCTAATTAATTCATAGACCTTCTAACATTGAGATTATGTTCGTATTGTCTTTCATAAACTCAAAATACACTAAGTTTTAACAGTAGTGCATAATAAATGCTTGTGCAGTTCACCTTTAAATTTCTGGAAAATACATTGTAGATCACCAGCTATTGTAAAACATTTACTTTAGACAAATATAAAAGTGGTGTGTCTCTAGTAACATGTCTATGTGAAAATTAGGGTAGGTAAGTCAAAAATGTTTTTGCTATCTTTTTTAACCCACTATCTGTCAGACTATCAATACTAACACATTTCTGTTTTATCTCTGTAAAATGACATGCCCACTCTGACTCGGACCAATACACATAGGGTTAATATTATATATACAAAGTTAAATTAAAATTTAATCAAACTACTCTATTGTCAATGTATGTCAGTAAACTTGGCGTCAAAATGTAATTTATAATTCAAACTTTTATATTATCTAAGTTTCAATTACTTACTTTCAAAACGAAATATTTATATATATTCTCAATCTTCACTTCTATGTATCACATGACACTTCTTTGCTCCAAATTGCACCTTTAAGATATTCTTTATACCTATATATGGCATCCCGAGTTTAACCAAATTACACATTTACAGATATTACTAGTATATAACATAATTTTATAGCCACCAATCTTCTTGTTCTACTGTGATATAAACCAGAAAATCAAACCCGCATGACATACCCTTCTATCACATCCATTCTTTCAAGAACTTTCAGTAATTTTTTCTAGCATTTGCTGTTGGATTATCTATAACAAATGAAAAAAGAAGAAGATTCTAATTTACTGTGTTCCTTATAAGACTATATCATTTTGATGATGGTTTATGAATATTTTGGTCTACAGTTTTATTCTTTGCTACTGCCAAGTTACCTCAATTACCCAGTGGAATTATTTTAACCCACATACATTTCTGTTATTACAACTGTTTTGAAGCTCATGGAAAGAAGATGTTTAATTCTTGACAGACAACATTTCAAGCGTTGTTTTGACTTGTACATCCTGCCAAGTAATGAAGGTGAAATTAATATAAGGTAAATGTTGAAATACATTTTCAGATATATTCAGCAGAACATACTAGTAGTAGTTTCTCATCTACCCCGTGTACACCTGTTAGTTCCCCACCACCACTCTCAGGTTAGTTTGTGTCTTTTGTAAGTTGTTGCAGTAAATGCTTCAATATTTGTCAACAAAGATTAGCTAAAATTACAGTTTACACAGAGAAAATTTGATAGTTCTTTATTACTGTGTTTGTTGTCTAGTGAATGTTTTTTATTGTCCACATTTTAAAAAAATTGTTTAAGAATCATAACTCTGTACATTCTTTGGTGAAATTCTTCTCAACATTGAACTTTTGATAATCCTTTTCACTATTTATTTATCCTATGTATATGGTATTAAGGATTTTAACCTTTATAGTAGCTTCTGTATGTTTATATGTTTCAGTTTAAAACATGCAAGTTGTATCTTTGGTAACAAGGGCTTTTTATCGTATTTTTGTGCTTAAAATAAAAAAGCTTATCTTTTGTAGGTGTAGCACAATGGTCTCGTGGAAACAGCTCTCAAAACCTTCCTCCTTCATCGTATCCAGATAGTACCATGCATCAACTGGTAGGAAACTTACTTTTTTTTAATGAATATAACTTCATAACAATTCTGCTAGATCAAATCAACTTCAGTATGGCTCTTAAACATCCAGCTTGTGTAACTCGTACTAACATCAGCTATATTTTTTCTTTATTGGTAGTAAGTGTATGAGCTTTAAAGTTGAATCTTCTTTTTGTTGTTGTTGTTGTTTTTATTTTTGCATTGCTTTTAGAAATGTAAAATATGTATAGTTTATAATTTTTCAATTGTCATTTTTGTCTTAGCTTTGTTATCTGTTATTAATGATCAGCGAACTTATTCTGTTTTGTTAAGAAAAACAATTACATACTTGGTCTATGTCCTAGTTTATTTATTATACCAATATTTACTATTTCAAAGGAGGTTTAGACTTATAATACAGAAGTTTCAGAGAAGAATTGCAATAGGAGAGGTAGGCTTGTAATACATTGCTTTGAAACTGTTACTGGAACCAAGCTCAATAATTCTCTATCAATTTTTCTTCTGATGATCAATGTAGGGAATATTATCTTTCATACAGTACTCCTTTCAATACTGTAGCTTGTAGTTATGTCAGAGTAGTTATACATAGACACATTGATGGATAGATTTAAGGTTCAAAGTCTGAGCCTATGATGTACCACTGAACATGCTCTACCCTTTCAACTTTGATGCCCTGTGCCCAAACTTTAGCCTTTGAGTTGGTAGAGTACTTGTTATTCTCAACCTGAACAGTATCTTACATGACACTTAGGCTAAATGGCGTTTTGTAGATTCCATAGGAAATTTTCTGAGACTGTCGTAAATTGTATGTTTTTAGGTACATTAGATTAGCACATTTTTGCATGCATTTTTTATTATATTCTGTAAATTTGTGTGTTAAAATTAAACTTCTGGCAATCTTGTCATAACTCTCTCAATACGGGTAGGTCAAAGTGTACATGTCACAATTTTTTAGAGAGTTACATTCAATATTTAATTAAACTACTTTATTATCATTGTACACAGATAAACCTGACATCAAAATATGGTTAATGAATTAAATTTTGATATTATATAAATTTCAAGTTTTCATTTTATAAGGAAATATATTTTAAAATCCTCAATCTTTCTAATATGAAAATTGTAAAATTTAGTCTGTAGGTCTTCTCTCTTCAATTTAATTACCACCCCTCTGAGAAGTATAGAATTTGATGTAAATTACTCAATATAATATATATATTATTAAGGCAAAGCACAATTTTTATAGCCTTCAATCTTATTTGTTTATGGAGCTATAAACTATAAAATTGGACCCATTTGCCATGCCCACCTGCACATCCTATCTTTCACAAATTGCCAGTAGTTCTTTCTGACATTTTATACTATATTCTTTATAACCAATAGAAAGTCAGAGTTTTAATCTATCAAATGACGTCTTATGTTATATTGTTTTCCATACAGAGTATTGTTTATTTTGCCTTCAGTTTGAAGATTTCTCTTGCGGTATTTACATTGACAAGCTTAGCTAAATCTTTAAATGCTCTTATCTCATAGTTAGAAAGCCAGAAATACTTGTGACAGCTATAAAACATTGCTTGCTTTGTGTATGTTATTATTTTGTTTTCTTAGGGGCATTATTTAATTAAATAAAAATTTAGTGTACTAGTACCATTAGTACAAAAAAGTAAGCAGGAGCAGGGGTCTTGGCTGAGACTTTTTTGGCCATCATTCATAGGGAGATTTTACTTTACATAAGTTGACCCTCATCTTCCAGCACTGCCCAAGCTCCTCTTGTCCCTGTAGAACCTTTTCATGACAAGGAGGTTTTTGACAGCCTTTTTCCACTTCCAACTTATGCCGTCCATGCCCATGTTTCTCCTGAGGAATCAGCAAGGCCACCCTCAGCCTTTTTTTGGATATGATTTCTCAGGTCTGTTTCATTTTAACTGCATCCCCTGTATCACATGATTCTGTCCCTTCCTTGTTACATGCCGCTCCATCATCCGATTACCTTGTCTTCTGTCCTTCTCCCAATATCACCATATATGCTGAGCATTTCATTTCTTGGTTGAAGGTAGGTGCCAGCATGTCTCGTCCATCATGGGCTTCATATAACTGTGCATTGGCTTACCATCAAGCTGATAATCCATTTCTAAACTTTGAACAGCTGGAGTCACTTTTGCCTGTGTGAAGGCAGACCCTGGGAATCCTATACATTTATCTCAAGCACAGTTTTCCTGCCTTCATCTTGCTGTTAGGTCCCTCTTATGGTATCTTTCATCTGTACACCTCTTTTCTGAGGCTCTCCACCAATCCCCTGAGGAGTTTTTGGAGGATATCCATTCCCTCATTACCTCCAAATTGGAACAGTTATCCTCTTCAGCCTTATCCCTTCATGCATGGCTTCTTTGCTATTGGATCTCCTTGGTAAGGACACTGCCTTGTCTCAAGTTTGTCTACCACTGACAAATCTTCATGACCTGTGGATAACTCCTTTTCTCCATAGGTCTTAGTTTGGTGATATTCCTGAATCTTTGGAGTCAGTGTGGAATCTGCAAGGCAGCACTTAACCATTCTTCTTTGGTTGCTTGTTTGTCTCAGCCTGCTCCTTTACCATCTTCTGTACCTGTTTCCTGTCCTTCACCCTCCCACCCATTGCCTGTTCCTTACTCCAGGTTTTTTTTATTTTGTCACTTGGCTTGCCATTGTATTCATCACTGCCAACAGTTCTGGGGACTATCCAATATCTTCCAGTCTAGAAGGACGTATTCATCCAATTTTGTTTACCTGTGGCAAGAGTTCACTTCCAACCCTTAGGTGATCTGGGTTTTATATTACAGACTCCTTTTCCAATTTCTCTTCAACCTCTGATGTCTCTAGTTCCTGTATCCTTTCCCTTACCTCAGAATCCTGCCACCAGTCTGTGTGTCTCTGAGGCTGTTCAGACTCTTCTCTCACAGCATGCTATAGAGCCTGTCAGACTTCCTTCTACAGGATGTTATTCATGGCTTTTTGTCATCCCCAAGAAGACCAGGGACTGGAATCCTGTGATTGATCTATCCTACCATAACCATTTTCTGGATCTTTCCTGCTTTACCATGGAATGTTTTCTCACTTTTTGGTGGGCTTTTTCTCCAAGTAAGAATGCTTACCTAACTATTTCCATCTCCAACTGAAAGCTCTATCAAACACAGATGCTGTGGAAAAAGTTGGACCTGTGTTGAAAAACACACCTAAGTGGACAAGATATTGGGTAGGAATCAGGAAAGACTTCTCCATTTGAGATTCCAACCCACTTCAGCTGCTTCTGTCAAGAGCAGTGTTGAGAAGACACCAGTTCAGAAGGAGTCAACAGAGTAGTGAAAGTGTAACCCTTGAGTATGCATAAGGCGGGCAAAGGCTTTGACCACCCAATAAAACCCATAAAGTACTGAGGCAAGCCTGAATGGTAAAATGTGAAACTGATACACACAACCCTGTTGTGGTAAAACTGAAGATAGTGTCTGGACTGAGACTTCATGCCGTTTCCTCTCCCTCTCTTTCTGCATGTGAGTTTCTATAGATTTTGGGGACTTGGGCTTCCATGGAAGCACTTATCCCCTTAGGTCTTATGCATATACAATCTCTTCAGTGGACATTGCATGATAAATGGCATCTCGCTTGGGATCCCTTGCACTCCCCAATTACTCTTCATTCTTCTATCCTAGATGATCTCCATTGGTGGTTGGATAAAGACAACACTATGAGTGGGATGCTGCTTCCTCCCCTTATCTGGATTTGCATCTGTTCACAGATGCTTCTCTCCATGGTTGGGGGCATTGTTTGATCAGCAAAAAACTTCAGGAAAGTGGTCTTCACTCAAAAGATCTTATCATATCAACATTTTGGAGCTTCTAGCAGTCTGGCATGCTTTGGATCATTTTCTTCCCTTTGTATGTAAAAAACTCGTCATGATCCATTCGGACAATTCCACAATTATCTCCTATATCAATCACCAGGGAGGCACCTATTCTCATTCACTCTGTGGTCACATGTTGGAACTACTTTATTGGGCCCACATACTGCAGATTTGTTTCATAGCATGTTGTGTTCCAGGTGCTTTGAACCTCATGGTGGATTGTCTTTCTCGACCCGATCAGATTTACCCCATGGAGTGGTCCATAGACACTCAGGTTTTCAGTGAAATCAGTAGGGTACACCTCATCCAGATGTTTTTTACACTTCCTTCAACACCAAGTTTCCTCCTTTTTTTTTGGTGTCTGGTTTCTCATCCACAAGCCTTGGTGGTGGATGCTCTCAGTCCTTTATGCATATGCTCCTATTCAACTCCTTCCCAGGGTGATTTTGGTCTTCCATTCCAATCTGTGTCAGGTCCTTATGATTGCTCCTTACTGGCTGGCACAACCTTGGTTTATTCTTTTCCTTCAGCTCCAAATAACACCTCCATTACCTCTTCTTCTACTTCCGTTCTTCCTCAATCAACTTTGGTCACCGGTCTTTTATCCTGCCCTTCACAACCTCCAGCTTCACACCTGGCATTTATCTGGTCCCTTCCGAGGAGATTTGGATTGTCCACACATATTGTAGCTCAGTCTGTTTGCCCTCCCCCCTTATAGTCTTCCACCATTGGTCTTTGCATAATGGGGTTCCCTCCTTCTAGGCCCATTATTACTCTCCTTACAGAATTTCTTACATGGTTGTTCAATTACTGGGTTTCTGTCTCATTCATTGTTGGTTATTGAGGAGCCTTGTTCAATACCTTCCATTTTTCCAGGTACCGTGTTATACCATTTCTCTTTTATTATGTTCTTTTCAGATTAGTCTACCACCTCATTAGGGGGTTCTTCTGGATTTGAATGTTATTCAGTCCCTCCATTTGAACCTTTGGTCTCCTGTTCCATGTATCACCTGTCATTTAAGACTTATGTCCTACTCCTTTTAGCCTGGGGGTATTGTCAGTCAGATAGTTTTGTCCTCAATGTTTTACATACTCTGTTCAATTCCTGATATGTTCTCCTTTATATGGATTGATCCTTCCTGCCCAAAACTTTGGCTGCTCATGAGGGAAATTCTTCATTCATGTTGATTTCCCTTCCCTCCATTTCCCACCATTATTCTCAGTCTGATCTGGATTGACTTCTATGTCCTGTCTGTGCTCTTCATTATTATATCACCCACATGGCCTCCTTCCATGGTTCCTGATCCCACCTTTTCATTCCCTAGAATCTTTTCTCACTTTGTGACATTTCTCCTTCTACCTTTAGAGGTTGGGTTCATCAGCTTATCAGACTGGTGTATTCTTCCTTGTGATGGTGGACCATGTAGGTTTCCTCCTAAATGTGCTCAATTCCTTTGACTAGACATTAGGTTGGTGGTGTTCTGCCAATGTCAAAGGTGTGGATCCTCCACATGAATCAAGGATGTATAATACAAGTGTTAGAGTAGATCCACCACATTACAGTTCACCCCTCCATTTGGAATTCCTCTTTCTAATATTGACTAGAAGTGGGTTCTTAGTGGCACTGGCATGCCCCTTCCTACCATCATTTAGATTACTGGGTCTGGTTGTGGATTGGTGCACATGTGTCCTTTTTAGTTGAATGGTACAGAATTTTCTCTTCCTGTTCTACCCAACTTGAGGTGGAGACTGTGTGGACCCTTCTACTGTGTATGGTCTGATACATCCTAGCCATTCGACACCAAGAGACACATCTATTTTAGCTTTCCCCACCATTCTTTCTCTGGTGGGCAATCTTATGTGCATTCTTCTCTTGATTTATGATTATAGAGATTTTAGTGGGTTATGGGGCCAGACTGCCCCAATATTTCTCTCATTTCTTAGATGTGATCCTCCCAATTCCTGCATGTTTATGCAACTCTTACTTCCACACAGGGAGAAGAGTATACCTGGTACAGAAGTGGTGCAATCTCTCTTGTATGTTCCTCTCCCAATGGGGGTTCACACTACATGGATGTTCTTTGGACCCTTTCGAAGAATGCTTATCTATATCCCTTGCACCAGTTTCCTCCACCATTTCAATGTGGGATTCTAGCTATTATATGAGCATAGGTAAGGTACTGTATAGAAAATTATTATTTTCCTACACTAAAAATATATTTCCAATAGATACCCACCTCCTCCCACTCTTCCTCCCCACTATTGGTGCTTCATTTCTGCCTAATGTTGAAGTGATGGTTAGGCGAATCAAATAGATGGAGTAACTAAGATCAGGAGGGTTGTGGCAAGATGATTTACATGTGAAGATGCAGTAAACCATTGTGGTGTAGTTGGGAGTTTCAAGGCTAGTGGTATGCAAAAACATTTGCATATAGAGGGTAGCACTGAACGAGAAAAGCTATCATGTGAGGGTTCACACTTCCCACTCTTCCTCCCCACTGTTGGTGCTTCATTTCTGCCTAATGTCAAAGTGATGGTTAAGTGGAATCAAATAGATGGAGTAACTAAGGTCAGGAGGGTTGTTGCAGGATAATTTACATGTGAAGATATAGTAAACCATTGTGGTGTAGTTGGGGGTTTCAAGGCTAGTGGTATGCAAAAACATTTGCATATAGAGGGTAGCACTGAACGAGAAAAGCTATCATGTGAGGGGAGGTAAGTACCTATTGGAAATATATTTTTAGTGTAGGAAAACAATAACTTTTACTGAATAAAAACGTTTGATATTTATTTAGGAAGCTTTAGATATTGCTCAAATGAAATTGACCATTTTTGGGCAAAGAACAATATTTTTAATCTTAACATAAAAATCACTTTGTACTTGAAGCAGTCAACACTCTGACTCCATATATTCATGGAAAATTTTTTAGTAAAAGTACTTAATTAAAAATTCAGATTTTTTTTCAATAAAAGACTCATAATATTTAATAAAAGCTTGAAAATTTTCGTGATGATATACAAATCATATAAAAAATCATAGTATGGAAAATGATGGTTACTTGGGGTCACAAGGTCAGTGTAATCCACCAAGCCCCTAGTGAGAGCGTTAGCTGTGTTTGACATCTTTAGTTATGTTTTACATTCTAATGTTAAAATAAATTCACCTGTTATATGTTTGTGAAGCTTGTATGTGTTGTATTTATTCAGAATATATTTTGATCACCTTCATGTGTTGTAAAATTTATCAGTCAATTTGTTCAATTTCAGATCTCTAAAGGTTGGAAATTATTATTGTGAAATCATTTTTTTTTTTAATTTGTTTTATTTTATTTTTGTATGCTGATATTAAATTGATTTATACTTCAAATGGAGTTTATTTTTTGTTTCAAAAAAAAAGTAGAAAGTGCATGCTTTAGCTTTTCCTTTTATTTGCCTGAAATGCATGCCTTTTTTGATTATTTTTATTATCTGTAATCTGTAGCAAGGTAGAGAAGAGGAAAGACTTGACGATGCCATTCAAGTTCTGTTAAACAGTAGGGAACAGGTTGAGGTAATAACCAGTCTTTCTCTCCAAGTCTAATGCTCTTCTGTTGCTTTATCTGATGCAGATGCTTGCTTCCTTTTAGCTCCATTAGGACTACTTGTGCTTGTCCTACATAATAAAACTTCCAGTTATAACAACATGTTATGTTGTTGTCCATGAATTTGAGACAATGCAATAATTCATTTGCACTAACACTTCAACTTCTCTTACATCCAGTAGTAGATTTGATATCATTGGAAATAGATTTTAGGCTATTTTTTGTTACTGTTATCAGTAAAAATGTAAACTTTTTTCACCAGTGGAAATTTAACTATTGATGAATGTTTTTAAGTATACAAACATCATTGTAACTATTAATCATTCTGTTGAAGCAGCCAATATTTTGTCCAAATTGACTAAACTTTAGCTCAATATATACACCTGGAAAAAAGTTAAGCACCCCCAAATATTTTTCAGGATTGCTTATTGAAAATAAGGTTTAATTTTCATGATGCTGAGCAATGTTCATAATTTCAAACATAATTAAAAGGATGTGAGCGTTCAGGTGTGACATTT